CAACTGAAACAGCATGAATGCCTTCAAGGAGAGGGTGAGAAGAGCAAGATAATGATTTGATAATGAACAAGAAAGTCTAATTTCTAATACTTTGTTAATGCCACTGACTGTATATAAAGATAAACTAACCCTCTGTGACATCACCCTCAAGTTTCCTCATGAACTGTGCAGTGTGATCACCATCTTGGCAGCGCCTGACTTCTTCTAAATACTGTCTAATCCAAAAATGATCAAAGAGGTGGAGCTTAAGTGGTGCTTAGGAGGACCATGCACACGTCTCTGGGCCATTGACTGTCCTAGGATGACACCCACCTGTTATTCAAAGCAGCTGTCCTTTTAATTATGCAGAAATTTAAGCCTGAATACAATTTCAGCTGATGAATTCTACTAAAATTCACCTGCTGTAAAGTCATCAGGAACAAGGAAATTAGCTACAGAGACCAAACCCATTTTTTGCACCAGGCTGTAAACATGTTTATTTCTTCTCTAAAGTTGGACCTTTTAACATGGGAGTTGATGGGGCCTGACTCGGAGCCAGCCTCAAGTGGATATTTGAGGAACTGCACTTTTAGGCATTTCTGTGCTGACTTCATTTTTCAGCCCAGGTCATCGTCCTTACATCCACATTATTGCTGGTCAGAGCAGGTATAAAAACTTCATCCTTTACATGTGGTCAAATCCATGCAACCTAGTTTGTTTTGAGCAAACTGATGAACCATTTATCCAAACTACAGCCTGACTCACCAGATGGAAGCTGTGTGTATAAACCTACCATTAGCTGTTTGCTTTGTCTTCCTTCCGATATCCCCATGTTACGGTTTTTAAAAGTCCCTTTACTATGGGAAGAAACGACAACAAACATCTGACTAGCAACCTACTACGCTGAAAATTTTAAGTTTTGCAGAGGATTTGGATCCTGCAGTAAGGCAGCTTTGCTAGTTTTGTTATCCATTTTAATGACGGTGCTCGCTCCCTGCTTACAAATCTTCTACCAAATCAATTCTACTTATCACTACTTTTAGAGAACATCGAGCATCCTTCGATAAGCTCTACCCAAGTTGATTAGAATTACTTTAAAGAAATTCAAGCAAGCCACAGATTTTTCCCCCTTTAACAGAGTGATAATGTGGTGCAACCAGACCATTATGTTCTACAGAAGGAGCTAACTAAGCGAGACTGTTAACCTTTATCGTAACTGACATCGCATTTGTGGAGCGCGACAGGTGTAGAAAGGAATAAAAGACAATGTCCGTGTTCCACCTTTGGTTTGTGGCATGTTGTGACCTTTTTACAAACTCTCAAAACAACAAAACATGCTCTCATAACCACATTTTCCCACTATTTCCACAACGCAGTCACTCAAGTTTCCCCAGCTTTAACACGGCCCCATGCACAGGTCCTGGGGGCTGATTTTAATTCAGCGATAGGCTCGGTTAAAGTCATACACAAACACTCCGGCTGAATAGTCTAATCTATTGAAAAATGTCATATCTGGAGACCAATAACTTACACTAGAGAATGTAGGCCAACATTGTTCCAGCATGATAATCTGAAAATATAAAACTTGCTGATTAAGAGGTCACTGTGTTATCATAGAAAACATACATGTGTAATCGCACAGGCCTCTGTCTTATATCACAGCAGCAGTGCTTTCACATGATTCAGAGCTGATAACTGACCATGTCAGCCCGCTCATATATACAAACATCGGCTGTATTTGCAATTAGGTATGTATGGGATTATCTTTGAGTAAATATTGTAATATGGGCGCTGATACCATGTGACACGCACTTGTAGGCTCACCCACAACTTTGATAAGAGTTAGATCTCACAGTGGAGCTGCTCCTGTGATTTTTAAATCGTAAGAGTGCAATCACTTAAGATTGTATAACCTCATAACTATATGTTAGTTGATGATGTTTGTGCTGGCAGTCCATATGAATAGCATTTCTGTTTTCTGCATTACAGCTTCAGCTTGGCCTTAGGTTATTTGTCAGACAACAAATTTAACAGGGAACAGTATGAAAACACTTGGTATTATGTGAATTGTCTCAGTGCTCTTGTATGAAGGAGACTAAAGTTGGCTAATGCTGTAATTCTGGCAGAGGTAAACCAATGCTGCACTGCCTTAAATGGGAAACAGAGACCGAGACCTGTGCTTTACTACAACATGGCTCTGATTAAGTCCAGATTGGTCTGCCTGTGGTTGGTTCTGAGCCACAGCCAATTCCTGCTCTGGGACGAGACTGTTAACGTTGGGGTATGAATGCTTCTATGTTAATCTCTTCCCCCCTTTCTGCCATTTATATCAGCTCCAGAAGGGCTCTTATCAATGCCACATGGACAGCATGCTGGTAATTTTGCAGATCTTTTGCAATTTTAAATTGAAGAAATCAATTTCAAAGAAGACCCAAGGATTAAATGACAGTTAATGACATTATTCCAACGATTGATGGTAAACGATTGCCTGTTGTTTCAAGATCACCTGCTGTTTCCTTGTGAGAAGTTGTTAATGTTAAAAGGTCATTTTCATAAGATAACAGGATAATTGTCTCAGTAACATACTGGGCTAATTTTATGATTTAATTGGAATCAGTCTCCCTGATTTAAGAGGAAGACACATGGAGAAATACAGCATATAGTGATCCGACTGATGCTTTTGACCTTAGAGCATAGACTTTATGTAAAAGATGGACGTAGCCACCTTCATGTCACCCACTGGTTTGTGAACTAACACTTTGAGGCCTTAAGTTTGCTACTTCTTGGTGGCCATCTTGGTGTTTTTGGAGCCAAAAGTGATCATATTTGGAGGAGAGGGTGAAGCTGCAGGGTTACAGTTGAGAACGCTGAGGCACTGAGAACCTGAGAACCCTCGATGGTGGCCGTGGCTTAGATGATAGATCAGGTTGTCGGTTTGATCCCCAGCTCCCCCATGTGTCCTTATTAACCTGACTTGTAGGAAACAAAATCTTAGCTAAGCTTTACATGGTGATTTTGGAAAAGGTTTTTACACATTAAGACTCTTTCGCATTAGATTTACTTCTCAGAGCCAGTTGCTAAGTCCATCTTTTTTGTACAGTTTGCGCTCTAGAGATGTTGATCAGTACACAAAATATGTCTACACTGAAGTATATCTACAACTTTTGATAGGCATTCGTGGCCTCCACTGGATAAATATGACTGAATTTAGTCCTTTTTGTTTAGCACCATCATCAGATCACATTTTCAGTTTGTCCAGTACTGATGACATTTCTGCCTTTACATTATCATTGTGAGCATATTAGCGTAGTGACATTGGTGTGCTGACTGTTGTTGCTCAAAGTGATTGTGAAACTGCAGAAAAGACTATGCAGATGACTTCCGTAGCTTGTGAAACAGTTTATTGTAGTATTACAACAAACAAACAAACGGTGTGTGTGGCTACAGGTTCAAAAATGGTGTGATATCCTGGTCTCCAATCACTTCCACCTGTCCTAGTGAACTCATCCACATGCCTCCCAGCACCCATACTAAACCCAGTGTTAACAAAAAAACAACTGCACAAAATGTACTTCGGTCCATACATTCATCATGGCTGCAACAACTGTCATTTAGTTTTAAACACCGCTGCACCTGAACTCAGAGCTGTTAGCGTGGCTATAGAATCTCAGTCTTATTAACTTGGGAATAATATGTGTCTCTTATTATAATGTGCTTTTATTGTAAGTTAAGTATTAATGACGTTAACCACAGCAGTATTATTAAAATCATCACTCTGTGAAGTTGCAGCCTGATTATATTGAATTGCCATCTTCAGTTAAAACTAATGTCCAGCAGAGGAACACACATTCTTCCTGTGTTAAAAATATCTTGAGATAATATCTGTTATCTTGAGAAAACAGAGCTGCTCTCAGCTTTGTCAATTAATTTTTCTCACATTCTTCGTAATAGATTATTAAACAGCAGATCAGTTCAGCTTTATTTGAACTCTCACAGACGTGTCTTTTGACCAATGCCAGCACACGCCTGCTTTACTGTTTAAGTGTCTTGCAGCATTTTCATTATGGTGCAAAACGTTTTGATGTTTTGTGGTTCTGGTTGCTAAACAGAGCATCATCAGGTGTTTTGATGAGATCCACATGAAGCTTGGATTCATTATTGTCCAACCTGCAGTTCGGCAAGACTACAACACACCTATCATGCTTCTGTGATTAATGTTTCTATAACTTTGTTGTAATGCTTGATATTTGATTTTTGCTATCTAGTTTCTTAAGTGGGAACATTAAAGTCTCTTCTCTTCAGTTTAAGGACGAAATGTTTCTCTGCTACCATCTTGTGGCGAAAATTAACCTTTAATTTTTTTTTTTAGGAAAGCAAATTTTGGATACAAAGGACAAAGTAACAGCTCAGGTCTCCAACCACGAGGATAATAGTGAGTTAGGCAGAGTTGAAAATGTAAAAATAGAATTAACAGGTTGGCTTGGCTCATAAATGGTTCAAACATCCTTGGACATTATTACTGACGACATGTCACTTTTTCAGCTCTAAACACTTTTCTTTTCTGTCGAAGAAGAAACAACACTATTAATGCAAACCATCAACTGTAGTGTGTAAGTAGTATAACATGAAAGTAACAAAAAAACTCTATGCAACCAGTTTCATTGAAAAGAAAGCACTGTTCACTAAATGTGTTATTATTATTATTATTATTATTATTATTATTATTATTGTTTTATCTCTGTCTTCATTAAACATTAAGAACATACTGCCATTCTGCCAGTGGGAATAATGTGAATATTTTAAGTAAGTTTAATATTCCAATCTGAAATGATAGGATAAGAGCATAAACTATTTGAATCACATATAAAAGAATATTGTAATATTACCACTTAGAAATTTAAACTCTACATGAAAGTATTTGTTATTGGAAATACACTTTGCACTGTGTTTGTAAACTGTATCAAACACAAAATACAAGTTCTCTGCTCGCTTTTTGTCCTCGTCAGTACCCGTAGTGACGCCATCAAAACAAGCCGGCCGGAGCAGCATGGAGGAGTCCTGTTTCTGAGGAATTGTTGACCTTCTACAACTGTAACATTGTCCTAGTTTCTGTGAGTTTATTTGTTTTTAACGTCCTACCTTCACCGTTAGTCTCTGTTAATGTCAAATGAAGTCAGTGAATCTCGTAATCCCCGCTTTTGAAAGAATTGCGGTTTTAAAGTTGACGCTAACGTTAGCTGCTATAAAGCTACCTGTGTAGCCGCTGTTCGTCTCCTTATGTCATCCCTCTTTAAAAGTGTAAAACGTTTACATAGATTACGTTAATAAATATTATAATTCAAAGGTCTCCGTTTTACATTTATGTTATCAGGGCAAATATTTTAAAGTTTCTGTTGTAAAGCTGAAACTATCTGCGAGTGTTAGCTTTAACTGAACATATGACATTTGGGATACTAAGAAGTCACGTTTTTTGGTCTTCTTTACCACAGGTTTGAGTAAAGTATTGCAGAATGTCAGGCAAACATGCAGCAGTCCATGCCAAATGGATCATCGGCAGAGTAGTAGGGACCAAGATGCAGAAAACCGCCAAAGTGAGAGTCACAAGGCTGGTGCTGAACCCTTTCCTGCTCAAGGTGAGTCTTTAACAGTGATCCTTTACTGCTGATACCTGCAGAGAGGACAGCTGGCATTTTTGGTAAATAGAGTACTTTTCACATATGCAAATGCAAACATTGATAGAGCACTGTTCAGAATCCAAGTGACAAAGTGCATCACAAAGCAACACAATGAAACAGACAAGTCATAAAAGTCATCAGAATTTATAAGACGGTCAAAAACACATGGTGTATTTTATACAAAGGTAAAAGTATTAAAAGAAATAAGAGTTTAAAGGAAACTAAAATTAAAATCAGTAAAGAGATTACTGCTGTGTCTCATCCCTCTAGTTGCCTGCCATTTCTGAAAGAGACAACACTTGAAAAAATGTTGCGGTTTTTACTTTTTAAGACATGTTGCATGTACAGATTCACAAATGTGAACTTTTTTTTTTTTTGCTGTTCACTCTAATTTTTTAAATTGTATACATTGGGTTAACTATTTTTGTGGTTGCGGGACTGAGTAGGCTGTTGAGCTGTGGTAACTTATCTTAACTTATCTTTTTTGTTGAAAAATAAATAGTTAAGCCAATTGGTTGTTCATCACTAAAAATAATCTTGCAAAAAACTTATAAATACCCAACAACAAATTACTTTTCCTTCTTTGAAAAATAGTTTTGACAGTAATTTAAAGTCTGCAGAAATTATTATTTCAACACATGTACCACCACATGTTGTACACAGTTACCTTTATTGTGTGCAACTAAATGCAATGTATTTTTAGATCAATATTGCATTGCTGTACAATTACTCTGTCTTAAATTTACCGTTATCTCTTCTTCCCCAACAGTACTACAACAAGAGGAAGACCTACTTTGCCCATGATGCTTTGCAACAAAGCACTGTGGGAGACATCGTCCTACTCAAGGCTCTTCCTGAGGCCAGATCCAAAAACGTGAAGCATGAACTGGCTGAGGTAGTGTACAAAGTTGGTCGGGTGGTCGACCCGCTGACAGGAAAGAGCGTTGAAGGAACTGAGTTTTTGGAGCCTTTGACCGACCTTCCACTTACAGAAGAGACAACGTTATCAGAAAAACTGCAGGAGCTCAACATCTCTGCCACCAGCAGTGAAACTGATTCATCGCTTGCACAGACTCCCTCTTCATGACGGAAAACTGTTCTTCCATGCAGTAATGCTAGTTTCAATGTCACTCTGCAATGTTTCTGTTTTAGGTATTAATGTAGATATACGTTTATAAATCTGTAATCTTGTCATACAGTGTGTAATATAATTTCCATGCTGCTTGCTTGGGTAATTTGAATTCAAGACACATTTCAGAGGTATTTACAATAAAATGTCAATGGGAACACTGTGGCAGAGAACTTTTCTGAGAACCACATTCACTGAAATATTCTTAAGTCTACACACTTGAGAAGAAGAAAATGAGCAGATTCAGTGATCATTGATCCAACTTTAGGTTTATTTTACACCATGCAGAATACACACTGAGCTGATCTTAAGAGCAATGAAAAACAGTTTTAGAATGCATGAACCTAAAATTCCTTACCCTGTCCAACATGCATCATAGGTCCACAAATGTATCTTAATCGGCAGATTCTCCACTCATATTCAGGAGCTGCATATTGTTTGTATGAAAGCCTCATATAAGCTCCATTCAACCAATCTTGTGTCCTTAACATTGTGGCCATGCACGGTGTTTTGTGAGCAGGTGAAAGCAGGTGAGGCTTAGAAATCTGGAACAATTCACACATGGATCTTCCTTTATATTATATTTTCAACCCTTGTTTCATTTATCTAATGTGATTATATATTTCTATGTGCATATTAAGGTATATAAACACATGATTTAAATGGGTATACGCTTTGTATTTTTAGTCAAAGCAGGGTGTCCATATCTTTCTACTGTCATGTTTGAAAGATGAGCAATATTGCATGTAGAAATAAAAAACATCCCAATATGTCATTAGTGCATTCTGTATGTGGCATTGAACACCTGGTTTAATTTGCTGTCACTCTACGAAAACAAGACCTAATAGTTTAGCCGTTGTTTAAAATGTGCACGTTTGCAGTATTTCGTACTAAAACAGCGCACATCATGAAACTTTTCAGGTCAGTGTTTTATATTTTTAGGAGGAGAACAAACACAGTTCTCTGTTTAAATCGAGATTGTTGGTCAAAGTCCACAAGCCAAAGAGAACTATATAATATCAGCATCAAGAGTGAACTGTACTTTAGCGAGCAGGTGGACAATAAACGTCCTGTCAATACTTCATCAGCTGCTGTTATCATCAGGTCTCCTTGTTTGCAGTGAGCCACACGACGTTAAGTGATTCCGGTCCATAAAGTTAACCGGGGGTTAACGTCAGCTCCTCCGGTAACAGCCCGGACTGCGGCTGCAGTCAAACCACCTCCAATTGACAACAGCTTTCAGGGAAACATGGCGACCCGAGTCCTTCAAAGAGTCGGCAAAGGCCTCAAACAGACGACTAATGGGCTTCAGACGAGCGGACAGGTCACCGTCACAATAAGGTTAGAGTTTAACAAACGACATTTACCGACGCAGACGTTTAAATTGTACTTTAAACGTGTTTGGCTGCAGCACAGTTCACACCAATGACAAACTCCGGGATGCTAGCTGGCTAAGCTAACGCTAAAGTGAACGCTAACGTATTGACGTTGGCTACGTTTACATCTGTGTAACGTAGCTAGCATTAGCTTTTAGCTCCAAACTTGCTAAGTTTCTGCTAATTTGTACACTCCAGAATCACGGAGTTGTGGAGCAACGTGCGCTAGCAGCTATCTTTGCGCACTTTGTGCACGTGTAGACACAATATGAAGAAATAATAGACAATTATAACTGAGTTTCTGTCGGTCCCACTTCAACTTCAAGGTCAACATACAATGAATCGCTGCACAGCGCAACTTGTGCTGATTAGTAAACGATAGTTTCCTCGCTGTTGCAGTGTCCTGAATCAAGCTGCACTGTGGACATATTTGTCCTTTAAACGCAGAGATGTGTACAAAACAGAGCTCTAACTAGACAATGCAGTGTGTTTTAATGTTTGTGTTTGCTTTAGAAAACAAACTATTGGAGGTGGACTGCTTCCTGATACACAAAACTGTTGTCGACGCTTTAAAATCATGTTCATCACTAAAAAACTAAATGCTGTGCATGTGGGCAGACTGCTTAGAAGTTCATGTGGACTAATCCTGTGGTTATGTGCAGCATGTTCAGCTTATAGCCTCCAGTGCTGCTGGCCTCTGAGCTGCAGGAGTGAGGTGGTCTTAAAGGATTTGTTCAAAGTTTGCTGCTGCCATCATTTACAAATTAACAGTGTCAAGTTGTGCAGCCACACTGACCTTCTTCTTATGGAGAAGGCAACCACATTTCATGACAGGTAAATTCAGTACAGTATGCTAAAGGCATAACAGTTATGGGTACAGCAATATTTTTGAATCAGTACTAGATTTTTGAGGCTGATCTTGATAAGGACAGATTTAAAAAGTCTTCAACTATATATATCAGCCAGTGTATAGTCTCTGACTTCGACACACAGAATAAACCTTTTTGTTAAAGGTCCTATTATTATCACATTTTTCTGTTGATAAACTTTGGTGGGAAATTGTCTCATAAAGGCACATATATATGACATTTCTGTACTGAATTTTCTTCTTATTTTTATCAGCAGACATATACACTAATAACAATACATTTTCCCAGTATATAAGTATTTAATTTTGGGACCAGACTATATCAAGGATGTTTGCTGAATAAACTGTGAAGGTCTCTTACATTCTGCATCGACTGGTCAGTTAATGTTGTCCAGTGTTTAGACCAGACAAAGTGAATCAGTGTTCAGTCATTGTGCTGCAAACTGCTGTAATCAGCTCCTGCTGGAACTTAGATTTGCCTCTAATTCAACTACTTTTAAGAACAAGCTGACGACTGTTCTTTTCTTCACTGTTTTTAATTAATCACTGTTATTATAAAGTCTGGTCTAAACTGTCTGTACTTTGAGTAAACTTGTTTGATCTTTTTTCACTTAATTGATTTCTTTTCTATTTCATTAGACATTTTATCGCTTACATTCATTTGTTTTTCTCACTCAACTGTTTTTTTTTAGCTGTTTTGGTCAATCGGTTTTTACTATTCTATTAGTCTGTCCACCTCATGTAACTTATCTGTACTGTTTAATTCACTTAATTTCATTGTTTCGTTTTTTTGTTTGTTTGTTTTGTTTTTTTAAAAACTTTTTTACTTTTTTAAATTTGCCTGTAAAGCACTTTGAATAGCGTTTAGTAAAGTTTGTAACGCTTGCTTTTTATACCTTTAGAAATCTAAAGGCAGAAAAAGATTACACAGTGGGAGCAAAACCATAAAATGCTCTCAGGGCTGTAACATAGCAGACATAGTTGGAAAGCTTTTCTGTTGTTGTTGGTGGTGTTTAATTGTTGCATTGTGTAGCAGAAGAAGTGCTGCTTGTGTCTGACTTTTGTGTTTTGTTTCACCACAGGAGCCTCTCAGCGTTCAGGGAAGACAGCTGGTTCAAATCTCTTTTCGTTAGAAAGGTCGACCCAAGAAAAGATGCTCACTCTCATCTGCTCGCCAAGAAAGAAGACAACAATCTCTACAAAGTACAATGTATGTACTGATTGATGACCGTGACTGGGACTAATCCGGTGAAATCTGTTTCATGGTTTATTATCGATCCGTGTTTTGTCTCTTGCAGTTCACAACGTCAAGCCAGAGTGCCTTGATGCTTATAATGAACTATGGTAAGAAGTCTTTCCTTAATTAATTTCATTCAGATGCCCCGTCAAAGCACCTTATTTGTTAACTATGCAGCTAATTTGCATTTGTACACGTTTGTGTGTTCCCTTAGTGAGGACGTCTTGCCTTCGATTCACGCTGACGCTGAATACCCCTGTGAGCTTGTGGGCACCTGGAACACTTGGTACGGAGAGCAGGACCAGGCAGGTAAGAGCATTCACCGCATCTGAAGGTTATGTTGCAATCTGAAACACATGCAAGTTGTAAACCTGCATTTGGAACCAAGTGCTGTTTTTAGAAAAGAAAGCATCATTTGAAAAACTCATAGACAGGAGAAGGTTGCGACAATAAAAAATGAACCGCAATGATTAATTAGTTGATAGAACAGTTCTATCTTCTCAACAGTCAGGATTCTTTGCTTTTATGTTTTAAGTATATTTGAAAAAACATTTTGGACTTAGAAGTTTTGATTCTTCAAAATAAGCAGTTTAGAGATTAACCCTTAGTTTTCGGGGAACTGAGAAATATTTTTCACAGTTTTCTGACATTTTTATAAATACAGTATTCATTCAGTTGGAAAAATCATCACCAGTGTAATTTACAATGATTTCTTATTTCTAGTTTTAGCCCTGTGATATATGATGTTACATTTTTTGATCTCCTGATTGAGGTGGACTGTTTCAGACTACCACATGAGTCAAGGCAAATATTATTATGTATACATAATTTATTTTAGGTTTTAAAGTTGGACTGAACTGAATCAGTGGAGGCCCATCCCTTCAGTTTATTGCTGCAGATGCAGAATAGTGTGAGCTGTGAAGGATTTCACAAACTGTGATTACCTCTTTTTAACTCACGCTTTACTCCAAGAAAGTAAAGACACTAATGTCCTGACAGCACCCCAGTTAGTCTCCTCCTCAGTGACACAAACCAGCACTTTGACAGCTTTTTATTTTAGCTAATTATAGCCGTGGCTGTGTTGCACTTTTCCTGGCTGCTGTCCATCTTGTCCTTGTGGTGACATTTGTCATTCCTCAGCTGTCTCTGATGTTACAGTGCAGTAATGTTGTCCCAGTCAGGAGAATCCAAAAGCCTGCAAAATGAAAACGTGCATGTGAGCATTTGAACAATACAGAGTACTGTGTCTCTTAGAAAACACATGGTGTTCTTGCCCTGTGGGAAATAGCTGTTATTTTGGCTTTATTCCATTGAATTGGCCTTTTTTTTTTGGTTTTTTTTTTTTTTAATTTAATCATTGGATTCAGTGTGTTTGTCTGCATTGTGGTGGAGTTTGTGGTACCCATCAGGTTTAATATTAACATACATAGTCTGTATTGACTGAGTAAAGGCTTTTCAGCTTCTCCAGAAGAAAGTTCTATTTGTCTCCTGTCTTTTTTGTCTTTTCCCTGCAGCACTTTCCTCACATTTTACTAGACGTACTTTTAGCAATAACATGATGTCATTTCCTGTCATGTTTAAGCACTGACTTCATGGTGTATATAGTGTGGATCTCATCGAGCCAGCTCCAAATCACAGGTGGTATAGATAAAAAGTTAACTACAGATGCTAATGTAAAGAAATATCTTTCCCAAAAGAACACTACAAGATATATTCGAGGGCTGCATTATTTTTGGCTCTTCTGCTCCTTCTATTCTAGTTCACCTGTGGAGATATCGGGGAGGATACCCGGCTCTCACCGAAGTCATGAACAAACTCAGGCAGAATAAGGTAACGGGTGCTCGGATTAGTTCAGTTCGCTGGCAGTTGGTGACTGTAGGCCAACGTTTCTGGCAGTGCACCCCTCAAATTAGAGTCACAGACCATTTCTCCATCCATGTCTTTCACCATCTTTATCTGTGATTTTATAGCTGTTTGTTGTGATTGTAGTTTTGCTGCAGTTATCTTTGAAACAAGTACATTTTGGTTGTATGCTGTAAATAAGGTAAGTGCAGATAAGGGAACTAATCCTGCCTTATTCATGTTGGTGTTTAATCTTCAGAAATGTAGGGGGAAAAAAATCTTCTTTTTAAGTTTTAAAGGTTTCGAAAAATGCTAATCTAAAGTAACATTAAGATCATTGTCAGAATAAAACGTATTTATACTACAGTATTCATAAATTGCGAATACATTCATACTGGCCATCTTGAAGACTTTCAAAGATTTATAATACGTGTCTGTTAAAGACTGCCTCTGGTGAAAATGTAAAATTTTTTTGAAGTGTTTTAACTGTCTAAGATGAGCTGATGACCTTAGCTGCAGGTAGAAACAGAGAAAAAGTGAACTTCATACCTCTCCACATTCTAGAAAAGGCAATTGTGCAGAGTTCTAAGTCATTTTAATATATAAAATTAGATTTGAATGGGGCTGCAAGGTGGAGTGGTGGTTAGCATTGTTGCATCGCAGCAAGAAGGCTGCCGGTTCGTGTCCCGGTGAGGACACCCAGGATCTTTCTGCATGGAGTTTAATGTTCTCCCCGTGCAGCATGGGTTCTCTCCGGGTTCTCTGGCTCCCTCCCACAAGGTCCAACAACATGTTGAGGTTAATTGGTGATTCTAAATTGTCCGTAGGTGTGAATGTGAGTGTGCTTGCTTGTCTGTCTCTAAGTGTTGCCCTGCGATAGACTGACTGACCTGTCCAGGCTGTCCCCTGCCTTCGCCCTAAGTCAGCTGGAATGGGCTCCAGCCCCCTGTGACTCTCGTGAGGATTAAGCGGAGTATAGATAATGGATAGTTTGATGTTTGAATGGAAAAAATATGAAACTTTGGTCCACAGAGGCCAGAGGTGAGTTTTTAGGGGTTCAATCAATGACCACAGAGGGAATTTAAGTCACTATTTATTATCAAATGAGGTAACGCAGTGGTGATTGAGCCACTTATGAAATTCTGTAAAAGTCCTTGCATTTACAGTGTTACGAACTGGTTGTCTGTGGCGACATTTCTCCACAAATTATAAACCATGCACAGTTAGTGATGCCTGTTCCATAACCCAGCAGGTATTTTTCTGCCAGAGACAGCAGGTGGAGCTAATGCAACAGACTCTGACCTAAACTCACCTGTGTGTGTGAGGCACAATCATGTTTTATATCCCTTTCGCTTTCATGTGTGGTGACCTTGAACTGTTGTGAGGCCGTGGCCCTGGTGCTATCTAGCAACCACTTTATCCAAGCAAAACACTGTTCAGATCTCTGTAAAGTGAAGATCAAAGCCACACCTGCAGTCACTGCTCATCATCATAGGTACCACCAGAAAGAATAAAAACTGAAATTTTCAAGATTGCCACTTTAGAGCTATTTTAAATACCTCACCCACATTGATGGTACTCATTAAAGCAGCATTAACTATTTAAAATGAAGCCGTGACTGATCACAAACACTGGCAGATTGCTGAGATAAAATGTTTTTTTAAGTCGCGTGAACATTGCAATTTCAATTTGTATACTTCAAAATAGGTTTAAGGTAATGAATGCATAACTTATCATACCCTCCCATTAGAAGAGGTGGTTTCAGGTGTGAACATTTCAATGCACTTAAATGGTCTGAAACCAGTCTTGCTGACTTTATTGTCTTGAACTCATTAATAGAGGTTTTAATATTTTGCAGTTGTATTAGGATTTGCTTGTTATAGCCGTGTTTACTGAGTACTTTGTTGCTTTGGTTTGTTGTTGCTGCAGGTGTTCATGGACTACAGGAACGAGAGGGGAAAGATGCTGCTGTCTCGCAGGAACCAGCTGCTGCGTGAGTTCAGTTTCTGGAACGAACCCGTCCCTCGCCCAGGACCCAACATCTATGAGCTCCGATCGTACCAACTCAGGGTAACTTAAGTAGTGCATTCACCAGCGTCCTCTTATTGTGTATAAACATGTTTTGTTGTTGCTTTAGTGAACCGTCAGATAACCAATTGTCCATCTCTGCTATCTTCACGTTCTTGCTTCAGCCAGGAACAATGATCGAGTGGGGAAATTACTGGTGAGGCATAGCTTTTTTATTTTTATGTTTTTAAGATGTTTTTATTTGCTACTTAAATAAATCCAAGAAGCGTATAAGCTTTCAATTTTGTTATAACTGCAGACTTACCACTATTATGTACCATTTATAAAAATTTCCTCACTACTATTTTATTGGTTTTGCAGATTGTTGCAGATGAATATGAGTCAACGGTACTTTCTGGCCACACAATCAATGCATGACTCCTAAGCATGACAAGATATAACACACATTAATTTGTAAATTCCAAGCATAAATGACTTGTTTGCCCTGTATTTAATATATGTATGTTTTTGATTGAACTGATTGTAACTACGAAATTTGCCCGTCAATGTGATAAAAACCAAACATGCTGGGAGGATTAAAACAATCCTGAGGTTCAACATGAAAATTTGATGTTCTGACCTGAAAGAAATTATGTAGACATCACTGATTGCTGGTTTTATTTAAATACAAATTTGTGCTGGTGGTTTAATTGGTACAACCTGCTGATAACAGGCTCTTTGTTGTTTGTTTTCGTTCATCTATAATCTGTGGTGTTTTTCAGGGCTCGTGCCATTGAGATTCGCCAGCAGAACCACGAGGCTGTGGGAGGCTTTTTCTCTCAGATTGGAAATCTCTACACTGTTCACCACTTATGGGGTGAGCAGAGTGTCCAAGATAAATGAACTGTCCTGATAATTATAGAGAAAAATGCAAAGATAAGGTAAACTTTAGAATATGAATTACATTTACAAATGCATCTCTGTGTTGCAAATAACTACACAAATGTGTTTGTAATGTATTTATCAGTTTGTGAGATGCATCTTTGATGTGTTCTCGAGATTTTCTCTACCAAGTAGAGCCCTGTGTGGATTTTATTTATTTTTATTTATTTTTTAAATCCTCCACCCACCATCATGACCCACAACCACAGATTTTCTGACTATTTATCCCTGCACAATATGGAAAATGTGTCTTCTTCTGTAGTTTTAATAGAGCAGTGTATACCTGTTTGTAATAGCATGGCAAAAATACAATTAGGGCATGCATCTCTTATAAATGTATTCCAGTGCAGTTCACATTTCATGCATTTCTTGATAGTATTTTGTTTAATTATTCAACAATAGTATCTTGTTAAATGTGCAGAGATGGCAAAAGTACTCACATTCTTTACTTAAGTAGAAGTAGAGATACTTGTGTGAAAATAGACTCCAGTAGAAGTAGAAGTAGTGACTCAAATCTTTTAGTCAAGTAAAAGTAAAAAAGTACAGGTTCAGAAATTTACCTAAGTGCAAAAGTAAAACGTAAAAATGAATTTTTAGCTTCAATGATACACGATGCCTCTTTTGATAACTCTGGAAAACAAAAAAAGTTTTAAGCACACAAAATAGGATTGTTTTCATCCTTTAAGAACCTGCACAGGGCTGGTACAGAGACAAAAAAATCACTGGACAGTTTTCCATTTCAGCAACATTATGAACATTAAACATTATAATCAACATGGAAACACTCATCTCTTCAAGACTGCCAAAATCTTTTATTGAGCCTCAGTAGAAGCCGGTTCTCAAAGTTCTCTGAACGGAGACGTGCCCTTTGGGTCTGAAAATCAGTCCTGCAGTGCTGAAAGCCTCTCGTAGGCCGCTGAGGCAGGCAGGGGTGTGTCGAGCTTCAGTGGCAAATTGCACACTGTTGGTAAAGATAAAGATGTTTGTTGTTACGTCTTTTATGTCATGTTGTCATCCGCGGAGGTTGGAAACAAGTAACGAGCCAATTTTGAGAATGTAAGGAATAGAAAGTCCAGATATTTGTGTTCAAATGTAGGAAGTAAAAGTAAAAAGTCGTCAGAAAAATTAATACTCAAAGTACAAATACCTGCAAAATCTACTTCAGTACAGTCCCAAAGTATTTGTACTTTGTTACTTCCCACCTCTGCAAATGTGGAGTTCCAGATTTGTGCTTGTTTTGCATCAGTACTTTGCATATTTGTTGCAACAGCTTGTCAGTAGCAGCAGAGACATTTCTAACGTCTAAATGTCAGACTTGCCTTACTTTGTTTTTGTGTTGTACAAATCTGCTTTAATATTTTTTTTTACCTTTATACTATATGTTGACTTCTGGTTAATGCTAAATACCAAAATATGCAGTTTAAATTTAAAACCACTCACTCCATTTGAGGTTTGTGTTTGGTTCTACAAAACCTGCATGATCCCAGTGAATCATCTACCACCAAGTATCAGCGTAACTTCAGGAAACACACGAAACACTTTTAGTTCATAAAAGTAATCTGCATAACCTCATGCTAAATTTTCACTATTCACCACTTCTCTGGAGAAGAACGGAGACTTTAGATACCATGTGTTGATTTGAGTGAAAACCGTATTTAACCATTTTATTCAACTCGTGTGTATGTATATTTTTTTTTAGCGTACAAAGATCTGCAGTCCAGAGAAGACACCAGAAATGCAGCCTGGCAGCGTGAAGGCTGGGATGAGGTTGTTTACTACACGGGTAAGTTTTAGTTTGCTGTCTTGTCTCTCTTTTCTGTACCCTTGTGACAGCACTGGAGAATATTAACAAGCATCAACTACATCTGGAATGTGTCATGTTATTGGCATGATCTTAACTTGCTGTCATTTTACAAAATTCATTCCAAATGAACAATTCCACGCAAACCGCAAATGAAAAATGTAACTGCAAAGAGTAAAAGTCTGCTGTAATACATTACAGGGCAAATGTGTTCACTGTAAAAAGCGTCACTTTTTGTGTGTTTTGCTGTTTAGTCTTGCATATAGCTGTCATGTTCTGATATGTCAATATCTTAAAAACAAACTTAATGTTATGATATTGATTTCACACATTTTAAAAGCAGAAATGAAACCCAACTGCTGACATTTTATTGTACCTTATTAATATAGAATAGATAAAAAAGAAATGTGAAGTCTATTTTACAAATCAAAACCCTCCAGAGTTTGACATAGTTAATCACATCATATGGTCACAGACATTAGACAAATACTCAGCAGTCTTCATGCCTTAGTAATAAAAGATTCTTACAGGATTCCAATACAATAACCAGCAACTCCAACTCAACACACTTGTGAAATACTGACTAAATTTAAAGAGTCTAAGTTGTCTATTTGTTCAGATTACTACAGTGTATGTACACATCCCTGAAACCTGTTTCTGAGGCTCTTGTTTGTTTTTTCCTCCCACAGTCCCTCTTATTCAGCACATGGAATCTAGAATAATGATTCCCATGAAGACCTCGCCCTTGAAGTAACCACAGACATCGGGAGGGAAAAGACTCAGCAACCACTGCAACTATTACACTGATCTGTAGAGAGTGTAACAACCATCGGAGTGCGCACTGCCAGGGATATCGGCCTAGCATAAACAACTTTCTGTTTTTTTGTTTTCCTTTCTTTGTTTCTTTGCTCCACTTTTCTGCGTGGGCCCTTTTTCAGATAATGAGTTCAAAATGATTGTCACCAAAACTGCCCCTGTTACAGCAGTTATCGTGTTACTGATCCATTTATATGGCGTGTGTGTAGACAGCACATTACTTGGTACACTCCTCCTCTTCACTGTCTGTCATTTAAAGGGTCAGATTTGAAATTAATGATCATATTTATTTTTCTTATGGTGAACTGTCAAAAGCTAGTGTCATCAGCCTCTAAGTGCTGGTCACAGAACCTTTAAAATGTCTTAAAATTAAAGAAAAGTGACCATTATTTGTTGCGCTCGGATTCAGATTAAACAAAAGTAACTGCCTCTGTAGCCAGAAGTCATCGCTCACTGTCAATTTTAAGTGGACAGGTATCTTGCTGTTTACAAATCCGCGTTCTGTGATTGACAGTCAGAGTTTGTGCTTTTGGGCCACAGTGAGACTCCAACTTTCATCATGTTCATCACTCCAGAAAATGTTTTATGTTTACATGGCTTTGACCCATACAACTGATTGTAACAGTAATTTGTGTCATCATCAGTTGTCTGGATGAAGAAATTTATAAGAACACTGTAATGGAGATGCACTCAAGCTGAAGTTCACGAATGCGTCATAGAGACGAAGCGAGAAATGGATTCAGAGCACATTTGTCTCCTCTGTTAAACTGAACACATCTCCTGATTCCTCTCTGACTTTGACATCATGATATTTCTGACTCTTCCAGCTGTGGAGAGGAGGACAAAGCAGTTAAAATGATTAGTTCTGCTGCAATCAGAAACATTTTTCTAATCAGTATTTACATTACAATCTGCTGTATACTGTCTGGTTTGGCCTATCCCTATATCAAGCAATTACTATCAGCCGGGTGATTGTGTGCTCTAATTGAGATTAATGTGTTTTTTTAATGGTGAGATTGTAGATAAACGTAGGAGGTTTGTTAACCGAGCCAGACATCTGGTGACACCTTTGTCTGTAAATGCGTGGGGTCTTCTATAACTGTCTGATGTTTGCTAGACAAGTGGACAGAAGAGGAGTGATGTCCCAGTGTGGTAAATGTAAGATGCAGTGCTTTAATAAGATTAGTTGTACATATTTAATTAAACTTCTGATGAAAATAGGAAAAAAAAGTGTTTAACTCCTTTTGTCAGATGATGAATTCAGCTCTCGGTCTGTCCCTAATTGTTGGTGCTGAATCTGCATCTATTTACACATGACTAAATAACAAAGCATGCATGTTTCATTTTACAGGGCTACAAAAAAAAAATATCCGGGAGTAAATAGTTAAAGCTGCCTCTTACATCTGACAGGAATATCACACACAACAAACATACAAAGAGAGAAACATGTCGGAGTGCAAACACAAGTCTTTATGAAGTTTTCCAGACTTTAAACAGTAGAAAGTTATAAAGGATCCGTTTGAACTAAATGCAACACTTTTGTTTTTGCTCTCATTTTTCATGAACTCAATTTAAAGATTTGATTTTTTTTTTAATGTACACAAAATGTTTATTTCTCTCAAACATTGTTCACAAATTTGTTTAAATCTGTGTTAGTGTGTCAGCATCTTGATATGCCACACCTGTTAGGTGGATGTATTATTTCAGTAAAGGAGAAGTGCTCACATACAAAAAGTCTTAGATCTTCGAGTTCAGCTCATGAAAAATGGGAGCAAAAACAAAAAGTGTTGCGTTTATATTTTTGCTCAGTGTATTTCTGTATCACACACTGAGAAGTGACGCAGCTTCACCAGTAGGTGCGTAGTTTTAGGTGTGACTTGTGCTGCCTTCACTGTATGTCAGAATTCTCAAAACTCTTAAACCTGGTCATCTGAGGAGAAAACCGCCACACCTGAGTATATTTCCCCTCTCAGAAAAGAGTTAAATTTCATTTTAAATTTTCATAACAGATATTTAAGACTGTAGAGAAATGCCTTTATATCACTGTCTCTGGGGCCATCTGATTAGAAATGTGAGGTATTTATTAATACAAAAGGGGAAGCAGAAAACAAGCATTATGTAAGTGGAAATCAACAATAAATATAAAACCAGGATGTAAAAGAAGAGTAGATGAGACCAGATACAAAACTATCAACACACACAAATATCAAGTTCTGAGACTTTTAACATGACACTGACACCTGTTGAAAAAAAAAACAAAACAAAACAAGATTTATTTTCAAAGAAGGAACTCAAACTATATTTCATAAAGCTTAATTTATGAATTCAAAACATTGCACAGTGCATCACTACGTTTTATATGTCACCTCTAAGCAGCAGAGTCTATCTGGTTATAACTTTTCCCCCTCACCAACACTTGCATTTCATCTCCTGGACTATTTAAAGGGTCAGTCACTCAAATCACTATTGAGTAAAAATCATTATTAAAAGCTTTAATAACCATTTGAAATACTGGTTACTGGCTGATTGATAAAACTTGCTGGTCTGGATTCGTGGTTTTCACATTTGTTGCAAGACACACATTTACATATTATTATACCCAGTGTTTATGTTGCACTTTATGTTTGGAAAATTGCTCTATAAATTAAAAAATTCATGTGGATCGAAACATTGCTAATCAGAAAATGAATTGCAGTTTGGCAGTAAATTTATACCAATGTTGCTTCCACGTCTCTTTTGGCGGAGCTGAGTCACCCTAAAGCCCATATATCTCTATGTGCGGGTGAAATCTCACGGTGTTTTGTGCTAATGTGAATGGGGAGTTTGGGAAAGCAGAATGTCCGAACCTCGACTGGTTCCCTGAAGGCATCAGCAGAGCACGTGTTGGAGTGTTCTGGAAAGCGACTCCCCTTTCGAGAGCGTCCGAGCCCGAGCAGAGCGGACTCCTGCCGGCGAGACTTTCTACTTTTACTTCGCTGGTTGTGCTGCTTCGCCATGGCTGCCGTAAAAGCGCTGAACCCAAAAGCAGAGGTGGCCAGGGCCCAGGCCGCCCTGGCGGTGAACATCAGTGCCGCCCGGGGGCTGCAGGACGTGCTGCGGAGCAACCTGGGACCGAAGGGGACCATGAAGATGTGAGTGCCGCCGGAGCCCTTTGTGCAGCACGCGTGCTATGCTAAATTTGCTAAGTGGCTAACATTAGCCGTAATTCACCGGTAGACTGACGGCGCAGGTCGCATGTTGGCACCGCCCGAGTCTGTGTGTTTGAGAAGTGACAATCCCCCGGTGTGTTTTTACAAAGTATCAACTAAATCACAGTTTAATTCGCCCGAGGCCTCCCTGTGCTTAGCGGATTTTCCCGGCGCACGTTGCCCTGCCCAGTCATCGTCATCATCCATTTGACAACCGCCGAGCTAACGTTAGCATGTTAGCATCAGCCGGCTAGCAGATTATACAAGCTCCCGTAAATAACGCGGAAGTCTGAATCAAAAAGTTTTCGTTAACTCCGCTTTACCGTTAACTAGTGGGACTAGTTAGCGACTGAATGACTTGATATCTGACAACACGTTAATGTTTGTTCCTACTTGGTGCCGAGCGAGCCGAATAACGAAATGAATCCTGCAAATAAAAGCTAACAGTTATAATCTCTGTATGTCAGTGATTAAACGGCCCACTGTCGTGTATGGACCAGGTGTGACAGTGTAAAAACTTTCTGTTCTTGATTCAAAACTGCACACAAGCCGGCAGAAGGTTGTAGTGAAGCAGCTTTTTTTCTTTGCCCTGTTAACATTAACCCTTGTGTGGCTGTTTGGACCTGCAGGCTGGTGTCTGGTGCAGGAGACATAAAGCTGACCAAAGATGGAAACGTCTTGTTACATGAGATGGTAAGGAAGTGCTGAGCTGTGAGATGAGACATTTATTCTGTGCCTGTGAACCGTGTTGTTCTAATTGTGGTGCCTTTTGTAGTGACAATGTGTGTGACCACACCCCTGATGTGTGTGGATGCAGTTCAAGCCTGTGTTCTAATGTCACGATATAAACAGTAGTACATATAATGTTGAAATAAAGGCTTAACTAGTTCTGTTAGGTGCACAGTGAACACCCAAGGATGCTAACGTAGCTCTCCCTGGTCTTTTATAACTGTGCTATAGTAACTCTGATCTGTACCTCTGCATTAGGAGAGTTTGTTCCTCCCCTACATGTATTCAGCGGATCAGAATAATCTTTATATAGCTGTTAAAACTAAGCTAAAATAAATAAAACTGCAAGACTGTTTTAGTCAAGCTTTGTGCTTGAGGCAGCAAATACTAGAAAATTGTTGTGTTGGCATTTAACACCTGAACAGATGTCCTTTGGATTTTTTTTTAGTTTGGCGCAGTATAAACAGTGTAAAGTTAGATTGTTGTTAATGTTAATAATTACATGTGTTGAACATATTTATGTTTGTCAAAGTACAATATCAACTTTGCCACTTAAAAGTCCACAAAACTCCTAATTTGTTTGAGTAAAGTTAACAGCGTCAAATCTCAGACCATCAAGCTTTAAGTGTCTCGTGTAATGAGCATGCCTACATTTGAAAAAGTGCTGCTTACATTAGGATGTGTGTGATTTAAGTTTTTGATTTATGACAAAGGACAGCGTGTGCCCACAAATGTGTGAATACTTCCATGTATATGGTGCTGCAAATGACACTTATCTTAACTTAAGGTTAATATTCCAGCTTTTCAAAGTAGTCAGGACATGTTTTTTAGAAGACGCTTACTTTGGTGTAATCTCTGGAAGGAAAAAAAAAGAAATGGATCACTGCTATAATGACAAATGTGCTTTTGTTTTTGTTGCTATTGCGTTTTAATTTTTTTTCCTCAACCTGGTTCTCTTTCAGCAAATTCAGCACCCGACAGCGTCACTGATTGCTAAGGTTGCCACGGCGCAGGATGACATCACAGGAGATGGAACCACCTCCAACGTCCTCATCATTGGGGAACTGCTGAAGCAGGCTGATCTCTACGTATCAGAGGTAAAACACAAACACTTCAGAGTTTAACATCACCAGCACTGTTTATGACGAGCCATTTTATTCATGTGGTGGTTTTGTTTGGAATTTTTGTTCAATTTTGCAAGTGAATCTCACTAGAATGCATGAATCTGTCATTTGTGCTGCAGGGTCTTCATCCCAGAATCATCGCTGAGGGCTTTGAGGCAGCCAAAGAGAAAGCTTTGGCTGTTCTGGAGGATGTGAAAGTGACTCGGGAAATGGACAGAGAGACACTCATCAACGTTGCACGCACCTCCCTCAGGACCAAGGTCCACACAGAGCTGGCAGACCTGCTCACTGAGGTGAGACATGACAAAACAGAGCTCAATGTATGCAGAACTGAGGCTCAGCATTTAGTCTACAGCCCCAAGTAGCTTTCTTAGTCACTGTAACATTCAGTAAATTGTTCACCTCTTCGACATCTTAAAGGCAAATGTTACAAGTTGCCACAGACCAAAGGCCTTACTTCATCAGATAACCCAAACAAGGAACTCTTAATATAGTAGCTTCAACTTTCACATATATGTATTTGAAGAAGGTGCTGGGTGCAGCTGTTCAATGCTGTTATTATTTTGTGATGTTTTGGGATGATCATGATCAAATTGTCTGTCTGCAGGCTGTTGTAGATGCTGTTCTCGCCATCGCTAAACCCAATGAACCCATTGACCTGTACATGGTGGAAATCATGGAGATGAAGCACAAGACCGACTGCGACACACAGTGAGTTTTGAAACAGACGTTGAACGAAAGGTACTTCATTTCTTTGTTGTGAAATCTAAATTCTGCTTCTCTCTTCATCAGACTGATCAGAGGTTTGGTGCTGGACCATGGCGCTCGGCACCCAGACATGAAGAAGAGGGTGGAGGATGCTTACGTGCTGACTTGCAACGTCTCTTTGGAGTATGAAAAGACAGAGGTCAACTCTGGCTTCTTCTACAAGAGCGCAGGGGAAAGGGAGAAGCTTGTGGCTGCAGAAAGGAAGTTCATTGAGGATCGTGTGCAAAAGATCATCGCCCTGAAAAACAAAGTCTGTCCCAACGGGGAAAAGGGATTTGTCGTCATTAACCAGAAGGTATGCTGAAAGAGGAGTAAAGCTGTATTAGAATAACTGCAGGCTTGTATCGATGTAGTTAGCTCAGAAGCAACTTTACAATGCAACATTTCTAAGAAGCACATCTGCCGGTCACACCAAACTGAG